TAGATGATATATTTATCTCCCTAAGGATGCTGAATCCCATTTGGATGAGTGAAGGACATTTCAAGACCTCTTGAAGCAGGGAGATACCGACTCTAACTTTTTCTTGGCTCAAGTCAAGAAAGGAGCAATGACTTTTTTACAGTGCTGCTTTTGCTCCATAATTCATATTTCCTTTAGAGGAAAACTACTCCAGATGTTGTTACCATTACTGTGTGGTGTTTGTGTCCTGTCTGCCCTCTGAGGGGTCGGTGTGAGCACACCTGGAAGTGTCTGTGGGCAGGATATGGGATCCATGTTATCAGTGGTTCCTCCCAGATTTAGTCAGCAGCACTATTTGTCTTGAATCTGCTGCTGCAAAGGTAAAGCAAATACCGATGGACTGGAAAAATGTGCTGGAAGGGGCCGTAAAAAGATGGAATAAATGTGGGGTCTTGACTGGGAATAGTTCAGTGTGGTCCAGTGCATGGAGGTAGACACGTTATTTTGCCTCTAAATCCCCATTTTGGGGTCGTATAAAGTAGGAGCAGGTGTCCAGACAACAGAGTTGCTGAGAAACTTCTGTGGGCACCTGGGAAAACGGGGCATTGTTCCTGTGCTCCAGCTTTTGCCACCCAGATCCAGGCAGGAGCTCGATTAGTGGTGGGATAGACCAGTGGGATGGTTGGCTTTTGGTTGGCTCTTGGTGAGTTTTCTTCATCAAGTCCAGAGTTTGATGAGCTGAAGCCTCAGTTCCCTTACTGAAATGAACTCCTTGGAGGGTTCTGAGCACAAGCTGCGAGTCGATAATTCATCTCACAAAACATGGGGTGAAGAAGGTGATCTCGGGGCAGGGAAAAGTACCTGGAGGTGACTTGAGTGTCCCTCGGTGAGGGAATCAACTCTTGTGGAGTTTCCATGCTGTGCCCCTGTGGTCTGTGGCAGGTGGACAGGCACGTGGACCTCCTGCAGATCGCCAAGGAGACGGACGGGTTCTCGGGCAGCGACCTGAAGGAGATGTGCCGGGACGCGGCGCTGCTCTGCGTGCGGGAGTACGTCAACAACGCCTGCGAGGAGGACACGTACGTGCCTCACCCCCCGGCCCCTGCCCAGCCTGGCCTTGGTGTGCTCTCATTGGAATCAGGAATTTACAGGGGGTTCGACCCCCTCGCAGTGCAGGAGGGTCTCGTTTGCCTTTCCAAAACCCGCCCAACTTTCAAAATCAGAGTTACCATTATTGATTTTGCCTCTGGAAATAAGAGTGTTTGTGCCAAGGTGCCAGGCTGGAGATGGCATGAGCCAACAGGTCGTGGTGCTGCACTATCTAGTACCAGGGTTCAGTGCTGGTGACACGGTGCTGCAACGTTCCTCTGGGATCTCCCACACCTCCAGGGAATCCCTGTGTGCACAGGGGCTGTGCTGGAGCATGTGCAGGGAAGGGAATGGAGCTGGGAAGGGGCTGGAGCAGCAGGAGGGGCTGAGGGAGCTGGGGGGGTTCAGCCTGGAGAAAAGGAGGCTCAGGGGGGACCTTCTGGCTCTGCAAGTCCCTGACAGGAGGGGGGAGCCGGGGGGGGTCGGGCTCTGCTGCCAGGGAACAAGGGACAGGAGGAGAGGGAACGGCCTCCAGCTGTGCCAGGGGAGGCTCAGGTTGGCCAGGAGGAGGAATTTGTTGCTGGAAAGGGTGGTGAGGCCTTGTCAGGGGCTGCCCAGGGAGGTTTGGAGTGCCCATCCCTGGAGGTGTCCCAGGAAGGCCTGGCCGTGGCACTCAGTGCTCTGGGCTGGGGGACAAGGTGGGCATCGGGCACAGGGGGGACTCGGTGACCTTGGAGGGCTTTTCCAGCCTGAATGATTCTGGGATTCCAGTGTGATGCTGGATCCACATCAGAGCCCCTGTTTCCAGTGATTGCTGCTCACTGCTGGAATAGCTGTTCCACAGCAGCTGAACCCTCACCTTGCTGTTTTTGCCTCTCTCCCGAAGCCACGACGAGGATGAAATCCGGCCCGTGCAGCAGCAGGATCTCCACAGGGCCATCGAGAAGATGAGGAAATCCAAGGATGTCTCCATGCAGAACCTCGCCATGGAGATTGTTTTTGATTAAGCCCAAAGAGCGTGTTTGCAGTTCCTGACGTGATTTAGTTTGACTTCTGTAATCGGATAGCAAAACCAGTGCCGGGGGCGGGAGCGGGGATGGCCCAGGGAGTTCTGTTTTCTGGAATCGTTTTGATACAACAACTTCTAAGTTATTGAAATTCCATCGCGCGCCACGGGAAGTGCAACAAGAGATCATGAGTGGAACAATTGAGCCCAGCCCGAGAGTGTTGTCCCACACTGATCCACTGAGGAGCCTTCCAGCAGGTGGGACACGGGGGCACCGGGGGTGAGGGGGACAATCCGTGGCAGGGCTGTGCTACCTGTGACCTGTATATAGCCACACGTTTTTTTTATATGTAGACATAATCTGTAGATAACTTGAGTATGGAAAATCTTTTCTACTTACTGAAGCAAACCAAATCAGAAGATGTATAGACGAAAGGTTCCTCGATACTCAGTTCACTTCTACCTTTTAGCAGCAAATACCAAGATAGAAACTGCTTCTAGAACAAAGCAAACTTTGAAATGCTACTGATTTCTCTTTCACGTGACCACTTGAAATCTGGTGCCATTTAGTAAAGATAGCAAACTACTCTGTACAAATGTTTGAATACTTTTAATTTTGTATGAATCCTGCTTTTTAAACGAACGCTGGTTTTATTTTGGGTTTTCCCTTGATGTGAGCAATTAGAGTAGACTCTTCCCTGGTCCCTCCTGAAGCCCCACGTGTTCTGAGCTCTCTGGAGCCGTGGCTTTCTGAGCTCCTGTGCATTGTGCTGAGGACTGGCTGCTCTCTGTGTCTCCTCTGGAGGCCCCAGTGTGGCACCACCCCGTGAAGTGTCACAGCTCTGGGGCACGGGGGGGACGCTGTGTGATGTTTGGCTCTGCCACACGCTGGGAGCCGTGACACTGGAGAGGAGAGGAAGGGGCTTTAGGCTTATAAATGTGATTTAGCAACGTGCTGTACTTGTTGGTAACAGTTGTGGTGAGTTCACGTTCTGTCGCGACGGAGGCGAAGGGTTGCAAATGTGAGTGGCAGAAGTGTTTTGGTGAAGTTTTTGTCAGAGATATTCAAGAACTTGATTTTTCTTTGTCTAATTTTACGAACTGTGCACTAATTGAACACGAATCTGTAAAGGGAATTGTTTCCTACCCCTGGGGTGGAGTGTTGTGTCACAGCTCTGCTGCCTGTGAGGGGAGGGAGGCGTTGGAAGCAGAGAATGATGTAAAACCAAACGCACTGCAAAGGAAAATAAAGTGAAATAAAGAGGGCTGGAGCCCTGCCATCACAGTGTCGGGGGCTGCTGACAGTGTCCATCCAGCACAGCTTGCTCCCTGCTATTCCTGGAATGCTGGGCTCGGGATGCAGCAGGGCTGAGCTTGACCCATTTAATCTTAAAAGCAAATGAGGAGGGAGGGGGGTTTAAAAGTAACTGAGTAATTGCTTAGACTCCTTTTCTCATATCAAAAAACAACGGGAGATGCACATTGCTCTAACACAGGGGGGTGGGAAATTAGGCACAGCAGAAACACCGTGCTATGGAAATGGGAAAAGTCTGGGATGTGGGATGTGGGATGCTAATCCTGCCCTGTCATGTTAGTGCCGGGGCTGAGGGCAGGGATGAGTGACTGCTGGCTCTGGGTTCAGGGAGCCAGGCCAGAGGAGGCCCCAAGAGGATCCGAGGGCTGGAGCAGCTCTGCTGGGAGGAAAGGCTGGGAGAGCTGGGATTGTTCAGCCTGGAGAGGAGAAGCTTTGGGGTGACCTGATTGTGGCCTTCCAGGGCCTGAAGGGAGCCTGTAGGAAAGATGGAGAGAGACTATTTCCAACAGCCTGGAGTGCCAGACAAGGGGGAATGGCTTCCCACTGCCAGAGGGCAGGGTTAGATGGGATATTGGGAAGGAATGGCTTCCCTGGGAGGGTGGGGAGGCCCTGGCACAGGTTGCCCAGAGAAGCTGTGGCTGCCCCTGGATCCCTGGAAGTGTCCAAGGCCAGGCTGGAGCAACCTGGGACAGTGGGAGGTGTCCCTGCAGGGGGTGGGAGTGGATGGTCTGTCAGGTCCCTTCCAGCCCAAACCATTCCATGATTCTGTCTCACCTCAGAATTAAACCTGTAAATTGTGCTACTTACCAGGATCTGTTTCTGGGGAGGTTGGAATGACACCTGTACCAGGTGCTCCAGCTGATCCATGTGTTCCATGCCCATTCTGACACTCTTCCAGCCCCTCTCCAGGGTTGTTACACCTGAGAAATGCCAGGCTGGGAAGCTCCTCCTGCACCTCCTTTTTTTCAGGCTGCTCACCATTTGGTAAAGACCCAGCACGGGCAGGTCTTAATTGGCATGAATTGAGAGTAAAGTGTATCCTCAGGGGAGCTTTAATGTCCCACTGAGGGCAGGGGAGCAGGAACAAACCCCGGGCTGTTGGCAGCTGCCAGGGGCAGTCTCTGGCTGAGCTCTGATCTGCCTGTTTCTCCAAAATCCTGGCTCTTGGCATGGCTGGAGCTTGCCTTTTCCTCATGCCCGTGTCACCGCAGGCGTAAGGGGCTGACTGAAGAGGCACAAGGAGTTATTTCTAGTTGCCCCTGAGGGCAGTTACTGCAGTTGAACTGCAAGTCCCACTTCTCCAAGAACCTTTCCAGACTTGTCTGCTCTTGCTGCCGCCTCAGGAGTCCTCGTCAAAGCACAAACCCTGCTAGAAAGGCTGGAGAGGCAGCGTGGTTTGTCCTGCAGGAATGTGGCTGCTATAATCCCATGGCTCCAGCAGTTTGATCCAATCCTCACCCTCTGCTCCTGCCTCTCCTCAGAGCTGGGGGTGAGCCTGATCCCTCTCCCACATCTCCAGGGCCAGCTCCTCAAACTGCGTCGAGTCTCCAGCGTTGAGCTCTGAGATGCAAAGCAAAGCTCCCCCCTCCAAAAAATCCAAGTGAGAGCTCCTTACGTGTATAAATATTTATTTGTACTAAAAGTGAGTGTTTCGTAGCAGACTATCGAGTTCAGAATATATTAAATCATGAGAGGCATCAGTTGAAGTACAAATTCCAGTCTCATGTCTTCAATAAATACACTATAAAACCCCCGGCCCACATACTCTAATCAGAGGTAATCGGGACACTGCGCTGGTTTAACAGGATAATACAACATCTGTGTTTGCTGTAACCACTTGGATTTACCACAGAGGGGTTTTTTAATGTTGAATTGTTTTATGATGAGCAGCAACAGTGCTACTTCACTCCTTAAAAACCCAAAGTGGGAATATTGCTTTTGGCTTCCAGGTCCCTGCCGGAGGGCCTGAGCAGGTGAGGTGCTGAGGTGCTGTCGGCTCCCACCACGGGGGCTGCAGCATTTCCTTGGGGTATGACACAAGCTTTGGGCTCTTTGCTCCAAATACTTTTAAAAAATGACTTAAAAACCCACCCAACAGGCCTTTTTGCAAGGCTGTTTTCCAGCCATGCCCAAAGGCTTGGACGCTGTGCCGTGGCCCCAGCACAGCAGCTCGGAGCTGGCGGTGTCGCTCCCGACCCTGACAAGGGGAAGCTGGTCGGTTTTGCTGAGCACAGATCCGTTTGTCATTAACACTGAAGCACAAGGAGAAGGGAACGCTGGTTCCTGTTCATTGGGAACACATCCTGACCGGATCTGGGGCAGCTACTAAAGAAGGACAGGTACAAAAATCACAAATTCAGGTCGTTGGAGTAACAAGTGAGTGCATGACTGTCCTCTGCTGGCACCTCCCGCCCGGGAAGGTGGAGTGGGATCAGCCCTTTCCCTGGGAAAGCTCCGCTGGCCACAGGGAGCACCTGAGGCAGGGGCAGGTGGCCGTGGGGCTCCCAGGGGGATGCTCGGGGTGCAGCACAGCGGGTGAGGCTCCGGGGTTGCATCACTGCCCGCTCCCGGCCCAGGGAGGCAGTGGAAAAGCTTCAGGCACAGCGGCAAAGTCCAGCTCGGGCTGAGGCCGGGGAAGGAGGTAAAGTCTGGGGTAACTTTCCACCAGCCAGAGCTGGGAGCAGCACCAGGCACTGGCTCTCAGCTCCCCAAAGGGCTGGGGGGGCCCAAGGGCTTTCCTGCTGTCCCCCAGCCAGAGCCACTGTCCCCACCCCGCTGGCACGGAGGGAATCGGGTCACCTGTACCCACACAGGGCTGCAGGTACAGAGGGGGGCAGGAGCTTCAGCCTCCTCTCACCTGGTTTACAGCTGCTCAGACCCCCCTCACGTGGCCACTTGGCTGTTTGGCCTTTGATTTGCCTTCGGGATGGGAGGAGCGCAGGCAGAGGGAAGGGGGATCCGATCCTGCCAGGCAGGAAGATACTCCATAGCATGTGGATGGCATCCCCAGTTTTTTCTTGCTGCTCAGATCTTCCTCAGAGATCTCAGGTGCCTCCCAGGCCAGCTTCCCCTGCCAGGCTGTGAGCACAGGGAGCACCACGACACAGTCCCCACGGAGAGCTGAGCTCAGAGCACCAGGAACGCTCATCCACGGTTTTGTGTGACCAGAGAGGTCAAACGGGAGGAAGGAAGCAAGGACAGACAGTGAGCAACTGGCTCGGCCACAAGGAACTGGCGGTGGTCAAGGCTGATTTAAAAAAAATCCTTTTAAAAAAGGGCATTAAAAAGATTCCGCTGTTTATCAGGAAAAATTGTCTAAGGCACAACCTGGAGGGCAGTGACTGGATCCGGGCACTGGGTGCCCCTTTCCCACCCCAGCAGCAGCATCTGCTCCTGGCTTCAGCACCTGCTCCTGCCTCATCAGGCAGTGCTGGGAGAGGGGCACTGGGAAGGCACTTCTTCATTCCTGCTGCACGCAGGGACAGGCAGGATTTATCCTGGTGCTGAGGCCCCACCTCTGCACTGGGAGCCGGTGCGTGGCCCCGGCAGCACCAAAATATCCGTGTGGCCCATCTGGAGGCTGTGCTGGGCTTCCTGCCACCAGGCTCAGCTGGGAACGAAGGACCTGCTGCCCTTCTCCCTTCCAGCTCCACAAGGATGCTCCCAGCAGCTTCAAGGGGAGAAGGACCAGGCTCAAAGTATTTCTGATTAGTAAAAACCACTCTGACCTGGGTAGGAAAATCCCACAGTCAGAGCACTGGAAATGCCAAGTAACTGATCTGTGTCATAGGGAATCAATCAATCATTGCTCACTCTTAATACAAGTATTTCTGGGGAGGAGGAGGAGGACGAGTGTTAGTTCTTCTTTTCCAGCGACTGGTAGTAGGTGGTGAGGACTTTCCAGGCCTTGGGGGCCATGAAGCCGTCCGGGGGGTTCTCCCCTTCCCGAGCGAGTTTCCTCATGCGTGTTCCTGAGATGAAGTCAAAGTCGTCGTGCCTGTGCAAAACAGAGACAGGCGACATCAGCACGGCTGGCCCGAGTCAGCCCCCGAGGGTTCCTCATCCGAGAGGAGCTGGAGCATCCAGGACACACTTCCCCAGCTGGGAGAGGCTGTTTCTCCTGCCACTCAGTCCCCAGACTGTGCTGCTTATCCTCCCTGTGCCATCTTTAGTTCCACGGGACCCATCCTTGACCGGGTGACAGCTCCTGGGGGGAATTCCAAGTGGCTTTCCCAGGTTCTCCCCCCACTCCTCTCCTTAAGAAGAACACCAAGGGTTTTCCCTCCGCCCTGGCAAGCTGTGAGCCCGAGGTGACCACAAACCCCACGTGCCGTGGGGGCCGAAGGAGCCGCGACGCCGCTGCCGCGTTACCTTTTGGGGTCATAAAAATCCATGGCCCTTTTCAGCTTGTTGTAGGCAGCCACCCTGAAGGGAATGATCTCCACCGAGGTGAGCCCTGGGGCCATGCTGAGCACCTTCCCGCCGTGCGTGGGCTCGTAGAGGTCCTTCTTGGTGTCGGGGTGCGGCATCCCTGCGGGATCGCGCCCCACGATGTAGAAGTTGGCCCCCGCCATCATCCGGGCTCGGCAGTGCCACTGCACCTGCACGGGGGGACACAGGGCTGAGGGCTGAGCAGCAACGGGGCCACCCAGCCCGGGCTGCAAGAGAGGTCCTGGCCAGGCACTCGCAGGAAAGAAGGAAGGAAGGAAGGCAGGAGACGTGTCAGCAGCCGCGCTGGGGTTTGCCGCAGCACTCAGGCCGCCCAGACACATCTTCCACTGCTTGGACCCGGTGCAACCACAGTTCTCCTAAGGACATGTATTTCCATGGAAACACTGGGCATGGGAACGGGGTTTGTCCCAGGCTGGTGGCAAATGGAGGTCGCAGTTGGAACCTTGAACATGCAAAAGCAGCGCGTGTTCACACACCAGAGGCTGCCCACACATTGCTCCTCTCCTCCCTCAGGGCAGGTCCAGCACTGACCCTTTTCGTCCCAGCGACTTAGGGACGGAAGGGAAACACTGAGGGAAACCAAATGAACATCCCTGCCTGGCAGGAAAAGGTGAAATCTTGTTTCTCCCCCTTGTCCCCAGTGAGGGGATGGGAGCTCTGCCGGGACATGGCTGTGGCAGCAAGGGCAGGGGAACCGTGGAGGGAACTAACAGTGAGGCTACACCTCCCTTCCTGGGACTTCCCGGAGCAGCAGGGGTAGGCTGGCAGCAGAATCCCCACGGACAGGCTTCACACCTTGCCCCGGGGAGCAGCCAGGGGCTACGTTACCTCGGTGGGGCCGGCGTAGAGCATGGGAGAGGGGAAGATGGCCACGACGGTCGACTTGGGGTCCAGGACCTGCTCCTCCAGCACGGCCGCGTGCTGCTTCATCCGCCACTCCAGCGGCACGTCGTCATCCTTGGTCCAGCCCCCCAGGGGGTGCAGGAGGAGCACAGGGTTTTTGTAGCCCCTCTGCAGGAGCTGGCGCCGCGTGTCCTGCATGAGCAGGGCGTGCCCGTTGTGCACGGGGTTGCGCAGCTGGAACGCGAAGACGGCGTCTGGAAGGGAAGGACGCAGAGGGTCAGGGGCTGGCACCGACCCTCGGGCGCCTTGGCTTCATCTCACACCCCTGGCATTCCCACACAGCCACGAGTGTGTCCTGCCTCCACACTAGTGAGGCCTTAAGTACCTCAGGTGAGTGTTTCACACAGACCCATTGCTCTGCCAAGGTTGCTTTCATTACACCCCTTTCCTTTGGGGCTGGTTTCAGTCCTATAATGTTCAGCCCTCCTGTCATGTTTGTAAGTGCCACCGGACACCCCCAGCAAGTTCCCTAACTTCCTGAGTGACCTGCCAGCTCCATGAGCTCAATGGCACCTTCAGGAAGACCAACACTCTCCCCAAAGCAAGGGTGGGTGTCCAACCTCTGCCAGCCTGCTGGGATGAGGTGGGACAGGGCTTGGAGCAACCCTGCTCTAGTGGAAGGTGTCCCTGCCCATGGCATGGGGTTGCAATGAGATGATCCTTAAGGTCTCTTCCAACCCAAACCATTCTGTGATTCTGTGGGATAGCCCCCTGGGAGCAGACACCTGAGCTGTGCCCATGTTCAAGGCCAACCATGTCAGTGCAGACAGGGGGGCTCTGACCTGCCAGGGAGGACACGAGCAGGATGCTCAGCACTGTCCAGCCCATCACAAGCACCATCCTTAAAGCACGGAGACCCTGCCCCACTTTTCGTGCCATGCCCTGGGTCCCTCTTACTGCTCAACCCCACCTGAACAGCCCCATTTTGGGAGGATCCAGAAGCAACCTGGCAAGTGTTGTGAGCTTGGGAGCACGTCACCATGGATCACACCAACCTCCTGGTGCCAGCTGGGGCAGGGAGAGCCGTGTCCCCAGTGCCAACCCAGGGCACTCACCAGCATTCATCTCCCTGAACTTCTGCTTCAGAGCCCGTGGGGTGAGGCGGTACTGGTCCAGCCCATCGTTCCACTTGATCTTCTCCAGGACAAGGAGGTCTCCCCCAACCAGCCAGTCTCCGCTCTCCATCACCATCTGTGAATGACACACACCTGCAGTGCAGAGGGGGCAGCAAGTACATCCTTTTCCCTCTCTCCCTTTGGAAAGTGTTAGGCTTGACCGAGCTGGTGGGGTGATCTTCCCTTCTCCTTCAGCACGTTGTGGGCAGAAAACATCCTTACAGTGACCACAGGAACTGAATGTCACAAGCAGCACAAGGCACCAGCCACCCAGTCCCCACCACTGCACCCAGCTGGGTGCTGCACTCTGGCACAAGATCTTCCTCCACCTCACTCTTCGCTCTTTCCTCCTGGGAATATGCAGGAGGAATACGCCCGTTGCACGGTGAACACCTGCTGCTGATTCATTACAAGAGGTGTTTTAAGGGAGCAGGAAAGGACTAACACAGCTCTAGCCTTTCTAAGCAGAGTCACAAGTTCTGACAGCTCAAGTCACTGGGTGGCACCCAGAGGGATGAAGTTCCTTGTACTGCCAGAGAGTAAGTGGGAAGAGAGGAGCCGTAAAAACATGACACCCCCGTTGGCTGCCTGTACAGAACAGCCAAATTGAGGAGCACTAACTCATTAGCCCAAAACTCCACAGAATATTCTGAAATGGAAGGGACCCACCAGGACCATCGAGTCCGACTCTTCAGTCCTGCCTGCTCGGGATGCGATGATTCCCAGCAAGGAACTGGGCAAACAGGAAACCCGTGGCCCTCAAAACCCGGGAAAGGTTCAGTTCCCCAGCCCCTGCCTGCGTTTGCCCCCCCCCAGCCAGGCTTCCCAGGGCAGCAGGGGGACAAGCCTTACCTGGATGTGGGGGTGCCTGGGGCAGGTGGTGCCCCAGACGCGGGCACAGCGCTCCTCCTTCCTGTGCTGGAAGAACTCGGGGCTCCTGAGCACGGCCACCCTGTGGCCCTGGAAGCTGAGCGCCAGCGCCTCGCAGCCCTCCAGCCGCTGCTTGTCCTCCTCCGACACCGGCAGCACGATGGGGATGCTCAGGTTCACCACACCATCTGCCAAGAGAGGGGCACAACTTTACCATCCTCCAGCCCCGGGGCTCGGGGACACAGGAAAAGGAGGTTTCCACGGAAGTTTGGTCGTGGTGCCGGTTTCTCTTTGGCGCTGCCCATAAGTTGTGACATCCAGTGGGATACAAAAGCTCCTTATTCCAGGGACACTGATGTCTCCGAGACACCTGGAGCATCTCATTACTTGCTGCACTCCTGCTCTTCCCCTGGTTCTTCTCCGTCAGTTGTAAAGGTGAAGAATGCAAATGTGCTTGGAAAACGCAGCGCTGGACGTAACCCCTGCCTCTCCTCCGGGAGAACCGCCTCCGTGGAGATGGTGTTCCCTGGAGCACCCCATTCCCTGCACACCTCCTGAGCTGCCTCCTCCAGCAGGGAGAACACCACCACGCTTGGTTTGTTTGGGTTTTTTTTCAGGATATCTCGATACTGCTACTCCCCCTCCCTGACATGTCTGCACTGTCCATGTTTAATCCGTGTCTACACAGCAAGTCTGTATTTGCACATGAACTTCCTAATTTCGGTGCTGTCCCTAAACACCTTGCAATCATGTTGGTTTTATCCCTGCTCCCCCAATTTCCCCGTCCTCCACTAAAGCCCTCCCATTTCTCCTTGGATAATTCCAGTGTTAATACAGAAGAATCAGTCCCTCCCATGAGTTTCCAGTCACAAACAAATCACTGATTCACTTCGTTCTGATCCGACTGAAATCAGTTTGGACCCCTGAGAGTCCTAATTTGAGCATTTTGACTAGGTTGTAGATTTTTTTAATCCTTATTAAAATATTTGCATTTACTTTTAATTCACAACCGGGTATCATTCGTCTGCCAGGCAGCAATTTTCATGAATAATCAGAATTACAGTCACATGGGATCCAATCAATATCAACTTCATACATTCAAATCACATTGACACTGATCAGTCAATGAAGTCAGCACAGGAAAAACAAAAAGCTGGATTATGAAACCAACCAATGATGCTGCAAGGGAGGATATTCAGGCTCTATTTCCCAATGCAAGATGGAGATTTAACAAAAGATCACCCCAGTGATGGTAATCACAGAACTGCACAGCTGGGATGTTTGTGGTCTGGATGACATGGGATGTGTCAGGCCACGGTTAATAATTTCCTTTTTTTTTTTCTTTTTTTAATAAATCTCAAAAAATTACAGCAAAAAAATCCCAATTGCAGTAATTTGTGTTCAGTCTAAGGACAGTTACATACATACCAGCTACCAAGCGACTCCTTCCTGCGAGAACACAAACACAATTAAGATAATTAACACTCACAGGCACGTTATGGAAACCACTGCAAGAACCAGAGCATTTCAAACCTCAGCCAAGCACCTCCTGAGCACGGACCTGACAGTGTGGCCGTGGTCCTCCACGGTGCCACCCCAACCTCTCTGGTGCTCCCCCATCCAACACGGGTCACAGTGGCCAGCAGTGAGGCACAACACCTCTGCTGTCACTGTCACCCCCTCCTGACAGAGCAGGGGGCAGAGCACTGGAGACCCCACAGCCCTCCTGCAGATCCACCCCCTCCCTGGTGGCCACCAGGGCCCTGCACAAAGCTCACCATCCATCCAGCTGCTGGGATGTCACGGTGGGATTGACTGCTCCAAGGCTGAGCAAGCGGAGCATCAACTTGAACAAGTCCCCCAAAACAGTCGCTGGAGCTGCTGAAAACATCCCTCACACCCCGGGGCACAAGGGCTGGACTGACTCGGGAAGGACCAGCCTCAAACCTCTCTTAGGCAGTGCAGTTCTCAGCACCATGAGGTGGAACCTTCCACCATTTCCTAAGGCTCATCCAGGAGCGGCTGGAATGTTCTCCTTCCTGCCCAGATGTCACCCTGAGGGCCTGACCATGCAGGAGAGCTTGGAGACCTCCATGGAGATGAGGTGGAGCAGGGACTGACGCTGATGCTCTCTGCTGCAAAGACCTCGCTCTGAAGAGTCCATCCCCCTGCAAAGCTGCTGTCCTGGCTTTGTCCCTGACCCCCCAGAGCTCCACAAATCCTGAACACGTGCCCACAGAGCTCAGAGGAGCTCTGCTCAGTGATGCCTGCAGGGATGGGGGGGCACCCCAAAACCAGATGCTCTCCGAGACGAGCCTCCGGCGCAAAGTACAGAGCTCTGAAGCAACATGGTCATCAAGGGGCACCTCTGCGACCCCGTCAGGCACAGCAGGCAGCTCAAAGACCACAGAGCAGGCTCTGATAACAAGGACATGTGCTCCTGAACACTGTCTGCACCCTGGGAAGGAGGTGAAAGGCTACGACGTGTCTGAGAGCAGAAGCCCCCACCCAGACACTCCTCCAGTCCAAAGGGAGCAGCCCTGGGCTTTGACTCTGCTGCACAGTGCCCAAATCCTAATAACAGCAGGGAGTCACTGCTCCAGCTGACCATGGGATCTTCTAGAGGGAAGGCCAGGCTCAAAGGCTCACCAAGATCCCAGATCCCTGAGGGCAGAGGTCACTACCAGGTCTACAAACCCCTAAGTGAGGTCACAGTGACAGCATCTACAGCTGAGAAACCAGATGGGAACATCCATGCCCCTCTCTCAGCTGTGGATGATCATAACCTGAGCACTCCCTGCCTTTTCCAGGGATGGAGCACATGCTGCTAATGGATAGAGAAATCTGAGTCGTCTCAAGTTACCGTATTGGATAAGCAGGAAAGTGGGGTGGGGGGAGAAAAATCAGGCTCTGCTCCTGTTTCCAAGGAACAGGTGCCTTCTCCTCCCACCTCCAAGCCCAGCCTGGCCTCGGGGTTGCATCTCTATTTACCCTGGTATAACCAAGCATGAAAAGAGCTACACAAGGGTTCCTGAAATGCCTGCAGGGTGTCAGAGCTGTGAGTCAGGGCCGTGACCTCGGCCACCTTCAGGAGCCCCTGCATTTAACACAGGAGAGGAAAGCAGGAGGGCAGAGCCGAGCATGAAGGTGCTCTGTGGGGTGAGAATGCCATCCCACAGTGGCTCCCAGGCCAGTATTCCCGCAGGGAGTGGGGATCCATACCGTTGAGCAGGGTGCCAAAGTGGAGCACTTGCAGGTACTCTGCCTCACGCATGAAGCCCTTCAGCGGAGTGGCCCAGCCTTCGCTCAGCACCTGCACCCACTGCAGATCCAGCTGCAAAACAAACCCACAGGGCACTCCTGTCACACTCCTGTAGGGTCACAGAATGGGTTGGGTTGGAAGGGACCTGAAAGCTCATCCAGTTCCACCCCCAGCCATGGGCAGGGACACCTTCCACCAGCCCAGGTTGCTCCAAGCCCCGTCCAACCTGGCCTTGGACACTTCCAGGGATGGGGCAGCCACAGCTTCTGTGGCAACCGGTGCCAGGGCCTCCCCACCCTCACAGGAAAGGATTTCTTCCTCATATCCAACCTGTCAGTGTGAACTTGTGGGGCTGTATTAACACAACAAAGGGGACTGACAGCCCTGACTTCCACCAGCACAGGGCGGAGACACAGCAGAAAACAGCTGAGGGTCAGGATCACACCTCAGCTCACCACAACCCACAGCAGAAAGGGACATGGCCATCACAGGAACACAGGCCCCTCTGGCAACACTCTCCTGGAAGCTTCTACCCGTGGAACAGCTAAAGAATGACAGAACCCCTGACAGTACCTTAGTGATCTCCACGGATGGCAGCTTCTCTGCCTCAGCTCGGACACTGCTGAGCTTATTTTCAGGCACAAACAGCTCAAGAACGTCCTTAATTGAGCCCCAGGGAACGATATTCTGAAAGACAGAGAAGAGACAGCACTTGTAAGAAACACACTGGTTTTTATGTGCACATCAAAAAGTCCATGTCCCAAAGCAGGATTCCAAATCTGCTGGTGACGGTGGCATAAAAATGACTTACCTGTGCTTGGAGGAGCTCCACAACCTGCTGGATACATTCAGACACTGATGCAACGTTCGTTTTCAACACTAGTTCAGGAGCTTCAGGCTTCTCGTACTCTGAGTCAATCCCTGTGAATCCTGCGG